CGTCCAACATCCCCCTGTGGGAGGACATGCCCGACCAAATTAGTCATATCCTTGATATTCTGCACGGGCTCCAGAAGCGAGGGCCGCTAGACACTTCAGATTTCCTACTTATGCAGCACGTCTCCTGGGCCAACCACATCATGACATCACTCTCGCCCCAGTGAAAGGTTGGGTCAGAGAAGGATCAACTACATACACAGGGTCGTTTTTTTAATACATGCTCCGCGTGCGGATCATGTATCGAACATACAAGGTTTAGTATTAAAATCAACGATGAATTCATGAATGAACTCATGCGTAAATTAATCATGTATGAAATCCCAATATTTTACAATCCGATGCATTAGAAACTGCCTTGTAAACACACTCTTTTGGATGTCCGTGCGGATCTCTTGGATCGGCGCCAGTGCCTCCCCTCGGAGGTCCAGCGGCGACCACGTTATTCACCGCGTGGAGCTCCGCACGTGTGCATCTGTTTGTATGGACCTTGCCGCCGTGAGCATCCAGGCGCAAGAGTTTTCGAGAGCAAACGGGCTCGAGTATTGACAGACCGGGAGTGAATCTGACTGTGAAAGAGTTGGAGTGTGAAGGAGTCTCAGCAGTACGAGTGAGTATGTGCGCATGGGTCTGAGTGTATGTCTAAGTTTAGAGTGGGTGTATCTGCGCCTTAGTGGTCTGATCATGCCTGGGCGTGGCTGAGTCGAAATGGCTGCGCGATCCCTCCATCCAATTGTGAAGCAATACGTAGGGGTGCTCATGCAAGCGCCATGCGAAACCCTTGCGCTTCGTTGGCTGGCCCAGAAGGTCTCACGCAATGGATGAACCTTGATACAGCCAGCCACGCCACGGACAGGACAGGCCCGATCTATAGGACAACACGTAAAACATTTAGGATCGGAGCTACAGGAGAGGGGCAATCTGTAGGAACGTACGTACAACACTAAGGGTTCGTGCCTTAGGGGAGGCCCGATCTATAGGAAAATAAGGACAGCGCAGGATTGAGGTCACAGGAGGAGGGCAAAACATTGTGCCCCCAGGGGAAGCCCCATAAATAGGAACATACGTAAAACATAGGAGCCTCTTGGAGCCTCCTGGGGCCTCCTGCTGCCTCCTGGGATCATTTGGAGCTTCCTGGGCTCTCCTCGGGCCTCCTGGGGCCTCCTGGGGCCTCCTGGGGCTTCCTGGTCCCTCCTGGGGCCTCCTGGGGCTTTCTGGGGTCTCTCGGAGCCTGCTGGAGCCTCCTGGGGCTGGGGAGGATTCGCGCCCCAGGAGAAACCCAACATACAGGAATATGCGTAAAACACATGGGATTGGAGCCACATGTGAGGGTCAATCCATAGGAACACACGTAAGACACAACGGATTAAAACATACGAAACACACCAAGGATTCGACCTGAACGCAGACGAGTCTGGCAACTAAAACAAGCAAGCCGTTTGAGACATCCTCGCACTCTGGGCCCCCCTGGGGTACGACAACCAGCGCCTCGTCCGAGGCATCTTCGACATCTGCTCCCAACGCAGGGGATGTTGGGCAGGTGAACAGGCAAGCCGCTCGAGACATCCCGGCAATCTGGGCGCGAACGGATGAATGAGATACTCCCTGGCGGTCCCCCCATGGGGGGTGCTGAAACTAACGCCTCGCCCGAGACATCTTCAAACCTTGCTCCGAACGCAATCGAGTCTGGCCACCAAACCACGCAGTGGGCCCCCTGGGGTGCGAAAACCAGCGCCTCGCCAGAGACATCCGCAGCATCCGCTCCGACAGCGCGAAAGGTGCTGCGCAACCAGATGGGCATACCGCTCGAGGCATCCCCGCGATCTGGGCGCGAGCGGGCCCGTGCAATTCCCTCCCGGCGCCCGAGGCATCCCCGAGAGGTGTTCGGCAAGCAAAAGATTCAGGAGGGAAAAAAACACACAGACACGACTAATCGTCGGTCCCCAGGAAAATATGGGAAAATATGTGAAGTGGGGGGGAAGACAGAAACCTAGAAACTATGGGGACATATAGGGAATCCTGTTATTCGTGTGTATTGATTTGGGTGTCCCAGGGCCCCGTCAGAGGTGTCGAGCAACCACACGGGCACAACTGCTCGAGACATCCCCCCAGTCCGGGCGCGAGCGGGCCCGTGCAGTGACCCCCCCCTGGCGCCCCCCCTTGGGAGTGCTGAAACCAGCGCCTCGCCTGGCACGTCCTCGGAATCAGTTCCCAAATCGGTCATCCGCACCAGCAGCATCATCAGCAACAGCATCAGCAGCAGCAGCATCCTCCTCCTCCTCCTCATCATCATCACTATCATCACCATCATCATCACCATCATCATCATCATCACCATCATCACCATCATCATCATCATCACCATCTTCACAATCATAATCATCATCATCATGATCCTCCTCCTCATCAGCTTCGTCATCATCAGTATCATCATCATCACCATCATCATCATCCTCATCATCATCATCATCATCGCCATCAGCACAATCATCATTCTCATCATCATCATCATCATCATCATCATCATCATCATCATCATCATCATCATCATCATCATCATCATCACCATCATCAACATCACCATCACCATCATCTTCAGGATCCTCCTCCTCATCAGCTTCGTCATCATCAGTATCATTCGCATCATCATCGTACTATGAAGGTATTATCGTGTTGTGTGTGAGCACGTCGAATGGAGATGAGGAGGAGAGTTGCTCGGCGCGGTCGGAGTAATAACGAGGACCGCGGATAGGCGGAACGATCCGTGCGGACCTCCGACAGTTTATGACCATGCATTTTGCTGTTGCTCTACTCGAGGATCGAGGATCGAGGATCGAAGTTTCGGACGTTTTTCTTCTCGTCGCCGCGGCTGGATCCGCTTCGGCACCCCTGCGAGAGGTCTGGGGCGGAGCTTTCAGAATCGCCAGCTGGGGTCTTGGCCTCGCGGGGCCCTTCTGGGGTCCTGGGCCTGGCAGAGGAGGACTGGGAATGGAGAGCTAGTGCTGGGGAAGGCCTCGTGGTCTGGACTACGTTCGTGGCTGTTCTCCCATACTATAGTCGAACAGGAGGCAGGCAGGAAAGGGGGGGAATCATCAACAGCAAAAGAACCCCTAACCCTAACAACACGATGACGACGTGGTCTCGCTCAAGTCCCCGTCTTCGCATTTGGGATCATAATTCTGGGCGGTTTGGCCTGGTACATCTGCAGAAAAGACCCCCTATCCCTAATGTTTCTGGCCCTCCTACCTTAAGTCCCCTCCCAAAAGGTTAGGGGTCTTTTTTGGGTTAACCAGGGAAGGATGGAGGATGGGGTGGAGGCTGGGAAGGCAGGAGGTGGAGAGGGAGAGGGAGGGAGGAGGCGCAGGCGGCGACGGCGACGACCGACGTCGCCACCGCTGCAGAGGTCTCTGGAAGCCTCCGACGAAGACGACGACTGGCGATGGCCGGCGGCGACCGACGAAGACGACCGACCGACCGACCGAGCGACTGACCGACCGACCGACCGACCGAGGAGCCGACCGACCGACTGACCGACGAGCCGACCGACCGACCGACCGACCGACCGACCGACCGACCGACCGACCGACGACGGACGACGGGCGACGACGACGGACGACGACGACGACGACGACGACGACGGCGACGGCGACGACGACGACGACGGCGACGGCCCATCGCAGGAGCGCAGGGCCGCGATCGAGAGGCAGCGGCTGCAGTGGCTGGTCCGCGACTTCTCCCACGAGGTGGTGGGCCCCGGGCTGGAGGTCGAGGCGCGGGGGTCCACAGGGGGGGGGTGTCGGGGGCGGCCAAGAGGGGGGCGACGGCTGGGGGCTACCAGTCTCGAACGTATCCCTATCCCTAAGATTGACACGCCAAAAGGCGATGACAATCTTAGGGGTCCGCCCTCAAAAAATGAGGGAATCCCTAAGATTAGCATCGTGATGAGGAGATGCCCAGCATAGGGATAGGGATCTGTTCCAGGCTGGTAAGGGGGGGGTGCCCTGGCGGGGGCCATGCTATGTTTCAGGGGGGGAAGCAGCACAGACACCATTCATCGGCGACTCCCATAAACAAAAATATTGGAAAAAGTGTGCGAAGCGGTGGGGAAGAAGAGGCTCCAGAAGATATGGGGGGGAATCCTGGGATTCGTGTGCAGTCGTCTCTGCGTCCCTGAGCCCCTTCCGTCTTCCCAGACCTCATGGCTCCTCCTCTGCCCTCACGGCGTCCCTGGCCCCCGCCCGGGCCGCGCGTGGCAGGTGCCGCCGGCCAGGATTGCGCCCCCCCCCCCCCCCTCGGACGCCCCCCCCCTTCTCCGGACGCCCCCCAGAAGGTTCGGGTCGGGCGAAAGGGGGGGATTGGGAAAGGGGGGGTTACGAAATTTGCTGCATGCAGCTGGTTTCGGCCTCCCCGAAGGGCCAATTCCTGGATACATGGCCGCTCCCGGCGCCGGGAGGCGCCGGGAAAATCAGCTACGTGAGCTGATTCTCACCCCCCCCCCTTTGCTATCCCCCCCTTTCGCCCGACCCGAAAGGTGGGAGGATCGAGGATCTGATGCTCGAGGGTCCGAAGGAGGCAAAAAGATGCAGTCGGGGCGCTGAAGGAGGAACCCTTCTCGTTGAGGAGGGGCTCGGTGTTCCTCGATTGCTTCGCAGTTTGCCTTGGGTTTTCCTGAGGTTCCCCATGGGGAATCGAAGGTTAATTTATGAGAAAAAGGGGCCTCGTTCCTTATTGAGGGTTCCTTAGGTCAACGCCCTGACTGTAAACTTCTGGCTGTCTGCGCAGATTTCTTGGATCGGCGTTGGGCCCCCCTGGGCGCCGGCCCCCCTGGCGGCGCCTCCGGCGCCGCCCCTGGCGCGCTCCGCGCGCCAGGGAGGGGGGTACAGCGCCGATCCAAGAAGTCCGCGCGGAGCTCCGACAGTTCGCGTTAATGCCATCTCTTGTTCCGCGAGTTGAGGCCCGAGGATCGAGGTTCTCGGGCGGTTTCGTTGTTGCTCGGCGGTTCTGCGGAGTGGTAGACGAGGGAGGGGGGACGATGGGCAAGCTGGGCGCGCTCGCACCGCATCTGACGTCCTGCTCCTTCCACCCATGCTTTTCCATTGCACCGATCGTTCTCTGTCCGCGGACGCACGTCATAGCGCACCTGGAACTCCACCAGCAACACCCACTGTGGCATGCGCAAAGGAAGGGGGGGGAGCTGCGTACCTGCATGCGGGGAGGAAGGGGAGGTGGCGGATGAGCAGGAGGAGGAGGAGCGGGATTTGCGGATGACTCGTATGCACCGTACCGCGTTGGCCCCTCCCGAGGCACAGTTGATCCCTCACCCAAGAACGGTACGGTGCATGCTGTTGCGGCCCCCCGAGCCGAACTGTTATGCACCGTACCGCGTTGGAGCGGGGCCTGAAGGGGGTCCAAGCAAGGTGCGGTGCATGAGCCCCGTTGAGAAAAACGAGGAGGATGTGGGAGGAGCGGGAGGGGTAGGACGACCAGGGGAAGGCGGAGGAGGGGAAAGGAGGGGGCCACAGCGATGAGGACGGACTCAGATCCAGAAGAGCGGCATTCTAGACGACGGGATCGGCGCGCCGAATCTAAAATGAGGCCAGCGCTGCAGCGGGAACAGCATTTTGCAGGACCGAACGCAGTCGGAGTGTAACAACACCATCGGAAAGACCAATGTTTGACATCGGGTACACAAACACAATACGCGGAGAGGACCAACTATTTCCTGGACGGAGCCAGGGGAGACATACTTGTATTGAAACGCCAACGGCAAATCACCATCGCCCCCTACCTTTTAGGATACGCCTACGTGGCCAAACGTTTGGCCAACATTTGGCCACGCTATTCGACAATGCGTAGCCGTTGTGGATTTTTTGGGGGAACACGTGGGGGAGAAAAGAAGGATGAGGAGAGGGAGGGCCAAGGAGGATGAGGAGAAAGATGAGGAGACCTTTCGGGAGCTTCCTGGGACATTCTTGGGGCCTCCTGGGAGCTTCCTGGGAGCAACTTGGAGGCCTCTTGGAGGCCTACTTGGGCCTCTTGGGGGCCTTTGAGGGCTTCTCGGCGTCCTTCCTTCCTCCTCCTTCCTCCCCCTCCTCCCATCCCTTGCCTCTGCCCTACGCATGTCCACCATTTCGGCACACCTCTCACACGTTTCGCGGCCCCATAGGGAGCTCAACCGAAGGTCCCAGTGGCACCGCCCGCATGCGGCAGCCACCACCCAGCACAGCGTTTCGTGGCCCCATGGGGAGCTCCACCGAAGGTCCCTGTGGCACCGCCCGCATGCGTCAGCCACCACCCAGTACAACGTTTCGTGGCCTCATAAGGGGGCTCCACCGAAGGCCTCTGTGGCACCGCTCGCATGCGTCAGCCACCACCCAGCACAGCGTTTCGTGGCCCACAGGCAGCTCCACCGAAGGCCCCAGTGGCACCGCCCGCATGCGTTAGCCGCCACCCAGTACAACGCTTCGTGATCCCATAGGGAGCTTCACCGAAGGCCCCAGTGGCACCGCCCGCATGCGTCAGCCACCACCCGGTACAGTGTTTTGTGGCCCCACAGGGAATTTCACTAAAGCTTTCAGTTGGACCGGCCGCAGGCGTCAGCCACCACCCGGTACAGCGTTTTGTGGCCCATAGGGGGCTCCACCGAAGGCCTCAGTGGCACCGCCCGCATGCGTCCCCCCCTCCCAGTACAGCGTTTCGTTGCCCCATAGGGAGCTCCACCGAAGGTCCCAGTGGAACCGCCCGATTGCGTCGGCCACCACCCAGTACGGCATTTCGTGGCCTCGTAGGGAGCTCCACAGAAAGACCCCGTGGCACCGCCCGCATGAGCCTCCCTCACCCATTACGGCACGTCCCTCACGCTTTTCGTGGCCCCATAGGGAGCTCCACCGAAGGTCCCAGCGGCGCAGCCCGCATGCGTCGGCCACCACCCAGTACAGCGTTTCGTGGCCCCATAGGGAGCTCCACAGAAAGACCCTAGTGGCACTGCCCGCATGCGTCAGCCACCACCCAGTACAGCGTTTCGCGGCCCATAGTGTGCCCCACCGAAGTCCCCAGTGGCACCGCCCGCATGAGTCTCCCCCACCCATTACGGCACGTCCTTCACGCGTTTCGTGGCCCCATAGGGAGCTCCACCGAAAGCGGCACCCACAACGCGTTACTCACAACTGCATATGGTTGGGTTTTTCGCCAGATAATTTGGACCATCTTGGCGGTCATGGAGGCATCTTGGGGTCGTCATGGAGGCCTCCTTGGGGCTATCTTGGGCTCTCTTGGGGCCATCTTGCCCGTCTTGGAGGCATCTTGGAGGCCATCTTGGGCCATCTTGACTGTCTTGGAGCCGATGGGGCCACCAGAAAACGATCTTTGGAAGCTTTTCGGGTGGTTGGCGGGTTGGGCCGAGACCCCACTGGGAATTTTGAAAGAAGCAATGGACACTAAAGTTCAGCAAGCCGTGCACCCCTGTGGCAAGCCACAGGAGGCGGCGGATCCAGTGGCCTTTGGCCCATCCCGCCAACGTGCCTGGGTTGCGGGTCAGAAACTTAATGGATGCTTGTTGGGTTCTCTTTGGATGCGTATGGGTACTCTCTTGGAGGCAGTTGTGAAGCCTCTTTGGGCCTCATTGGAGCCGTTTGGGGGTCTCTTGGGGCTTCTTCCAGGTCTCTTGGGGGCATTTTGGGGGCCTGTTGGCGATCTCGGGGCCCCCTTGGGGCAGAGGTCTCGAAATCTCCGCTCGAGTTCCCCATCTTGTGCTCATCGTGGTGTCCTCTTGGGGCCCTTTTAGGCCATCTCGGGCGCCCTCATGGGCATTCTTGGGGCTCTCTTCAGTCGTTTTGGGGCGTGCATCTTGGGCCGTTCTGGACGCTGCGAAAGCTCAAGAGGCGAATATGTTGAAGGTGTAAGTCTCCCTCCGCTACTGGGACGACTTTTGCCTCTTGGGGCCCTCTTGGGGCTGCTCTCAGGGCTCTCTCGGGGCATCGTGTGGGCCTTTTTGGGCTGTCTTGGGGCCATATTGGGCCGTCTTGAAGCTGTGTTGGACCGTTCTGGTGCTTTGTTTGGTTATCTGAGGAAGTTCTGGAGACTCGAGGGGTCCGGCAAGCTCCCACGAGCTCCAGGGAATTGCCAGGAGATCCCAAGAGCTCCCCGACATTCCCAGGAGCTCCCAGCAGCGGCTGAGAAAGCGGGTGTCCGGGCCAGAGAGAACTTTACAACCCTTTTGCCTCTCAGGTCTCAGAGCTGCATGCGCCTGGGGGCACTCCACAACGTTCCGAAGGCAAGTTGGCGCAGTAAGTGTGCGATTGTGGAGGTGGAGATGAGAAGGGTGCGGGGGGATCATGAGAGAGATATGGAGGAGGGCTAGGTATTAAGGAGGTGGCTGGGCTGTGGAGTGTGACGGAAGGACAGAGGGCAATTTACGATTCTGATAATGCTCGTCATTGGTTATACTGTTTATGGTGACGCGTGGAGCGAGGATGAGCACGATTCTGATTATGATCGTTAAGATGCGGCGGGCGGTAATGACAGCGATGAGGACGAATCATAACGATGATGGCACTGATGTTGCTGATGATGATGCTGATAAGGTTGGACGATCATGGTAAGCAAATGATTAACGGCGACGGCGATGATGATGATGATCATGATGCTGATGCTGATGCTGATGCAGCTGTTGATGATGATTGTGATGGTTTTACTACTGGTGCTGCTTGGGCTGCTGCTGCTGCTGATGATGATGATGTTGATGCTGATGCTCCCGATGCTGCTGCTGATG